CCCCAAAACCCCAAAACCCCAAAACCCCAGGCTGACGAAATATATGATTAATTAAAGATTAACATATGGTTTAAAATAAATATACTTAATTAAAAGTTAATTAATGAAAGGCGGAAAATTTCTGTAAAAATTGGGCCTCTACGGAGGTGGATCGTAAGCAATAGCATCAATTTTAAATATTTTAGAGTAGCTGTTGATCAAGTGATATTAAGTCCCTAATAACGAGAAGATGTAAGGGCTGTATTAAAAGGAACTACAAATACAATTAGAGCAGTACCTATAGGTAAAAGATATTGTGTAATTTTATTATAGTTGCTTACTCAGTCTATGACTATATTTCTAACCTGAAAGGAATACCTTATCCCTCAGATGAGTACGTTAATATGAGAGAAACTGTAGGCATTATATTAGAGTTTTATATTATAGATAAATACAAGAGTAGCGAAGAGATTACTTTATTTAAGTACATCGAGTGGGGGAATTTATTTTAAAGCTGGGCAATATATTGGCACCTTAGAGAGAATAGCCCCAAAAGAATATATTGAGGTGTTGAAAGTATTACAAGACAAGGGTCCTGCACTTCCATATGAAAAGATTAAAATAGTGTATGAGGCTGACATGAAATGTAAAATAGAAGATGTATTCAGTGAATTCGACAAGACTCCTGTAGCTGCAGCAAGTTTAGCTTAGGTTCATAAAGCAAAGCTAAAGGAAACAGGAGAAGTAGTAGCTGTGAAGCTACAGTTTCCTAGGTTGAGAACCTAAACTAAATATGATCTTTTTGTGATAAGAAAATTAATTGGAATGGCTAATTGGTTGTGCAAGTATTATGATTATTAGGGAATGGACTTTTGAAAATTTAATGAACATTTTGAGCAGTCTATGGTTAAGGAACTTGATTTCAAATAGGAGGTTGTTAATGCTGAAAGAACAAGATAAAATTTCAAGAAATACTCAGATTTGTACATGCCTAAGAATAATATACCACTCAGTAGCAGAAGAGCAATAGTAATGGAATATGTCGAAGGTGTCAAGATTAATGATATTGAGGGTTTGAAAGAATAATTTGGAGAACCCTAAAAAGCCTCATCAATTTTAATTGATGTTTTCGCTAAGATGATTTTTCTTTACGGCCATGTTCATTGCGATGCTCACCCAGGTAATATTTTAGTAAGACAACACCCAAATAAACCCAAGGGTAATCCTTAGATAGTTTTGCTAGATCATGGGTTCTATTGTGATATTGATGATGAATTTAGATTAAATTTTTGCAGGCTTTGGTATGCAATGGTTACAATGGATTATGGAGAGGTGAAAGATTTATCTGGGAAACTTGGAATAGGTTAATACTTTCGATATTTACCTTTGCTATTCACTTATAGAACAATTAATGCTAAAAAGCCATTAGGAGGAACAGTGTCCAAAGAAGAGATAGAATTCCTCAAGGGCAAGGACGAAGTGAATTTTGAAAAAATAAGCTTTTTAATGTAGAAATTACCAAGCGAAATAGTGTTTATTTTCAAAGCAATGCATATAATAGGCCTACATAATTTTAGAGCAGGAGGCTAAACAAGAAAAAGATTATTACTTTTTACAAATGATGCTATAGCTGCTCTTGCATATAAGCATTCTATATTTTACAGATGGTGGCTTCATGTTAAATTCTGGTTTAAGCTCATTATTTTTGAGAAAGCATTCTGGCTGTATCAAAGAATATGGGGCTTTATTGAAATCAAATTTGATGAAAAAAATAAAGCTATCGAGTAATGAAATATGATTTAATTAGAAATTCATTTATTTTATAGTTAAAATATTGACAATAAATATTTATCGAAGGGGTTTTGGGGTTTTGGGGTTTTGGGG